AAACCCTTATTATCTTTTCTGACAGGTAACTTTTGAATTGTAGATTTTTTAGTCCAAAGAGAGATGATTCTGCCACCATCCTATAGGATCTGAGACTTTCCTAAACAGTATTTTAATAATTAGTGTAGCAGAGTTGCCAGTTCTAATATTCAGAGGTATGATATTCTCAAGATTGTAAAAACCCACTCAGATTTCTTAAATTCATGTACTTCTGAGTTAACTGTGACTTCTGGTAGTCTGAAGCTTTTAAATTGCTTTCCCTTAATATAAAGGTTTACTTTCTTTGAAAAACATCACACACACACCCACTGAAGTAAAGAAACTGAGTTGGAACAGCTGGTGTTGGATTTGATTAGACCAGTTTGCTCTTAGTTTTAGAAAATATCTTTACACACTGCAGAGCTGCTGTAAGTTTCAGTGTGCTTCTTTGGATGTTTAGTATGCATAATATGTTATTAAAAGTAGTCTGTGGTTTGTCTCCCATTTTTTACTGTGCTTGAAATTTATGGGAGACAAAGCTATGTAAAACTGACCAACACAGTGTGTGAGCTTTTGAGTTCTTGGAATTCTTCATCAGGGTGGATCAAAAGCAAAAAGAAATGGGTGGGGAGAGAAAATACTTTCGGCCATGATACAAAGGTTTCTGGCTGAATCTTGGATAGAATGCTTTGACTGACTGCAATGGGTGCTGGATGTGGTTAGTATAAGGTTGCTTCTTCCAGAAAGGCTAGTTTAAAAAAATAAAATACTGATCTGGTTGAAAGCAGGTGATCCATCTGCTACAAGTAAAAAACAAAACAAAAAAAGCACAAGTCCCTTTAAAGGCTAAAAGCACAGAAAAACCACACTAGAGTTTGTGAGATTCTGAAAGGAGTAATGGTGAGCTAATGGAATAAATAGGGCTCAGTTCATTTCCTCTTATACAAGGCCTTCTTTGTATGGCTGTATATTATCATCTGTACAACTAAGGAAGGGGAAAATGCAGCCATTTTTTATTTTAAAGCTTCTTCTTGGTGTAACACTTCCAACTATATCATTATGGAACGCTAAATGACCTTTTATAGTTTTATACCCTACCCCCCCCGATCCTGCAACGGCTTTTACTATCTACAAAGGTCATGCAGAAGCATTGAAGCTTCAGTGCATTCGATAAGGTCCATAGTAATATTTATAAAATGTGCTGATAGTAAGTGTGGGTCTGTGTGAAACTGAAGCCTGCCCCAAGGGATGGCCAGGAGACAAATTTAAACACCCAGTGAAAAGCACTGCAATATGAATGGCAATGAAACTTTTAAACATTGCAGTAAAACATTTGAACCATTAAAATAAAGTTAACATATAAAATTCAATTAAAAACACCTAAACAAACACTAGAAAGAGAGCTAGGGTTGCCAAGTCGTATCTTCTTACCGGCGGGGGAGCCTCGCTGGGCTCCAGGAGCTCTCCGCCGATGCGCACACCGCCAGCACGTCCCGGAAGTGACGTGGGATGTCGATCACGTTTAGGGCGTGGCCCCGATCGATGGAGGGAAAACCATAGAGTTTTCCCTCCGACAATCAGGGCCACACCCCCAACGTGATTGACATGGTTGCGTCACCTCTGGTGACGCAGCCATGCTGCGCTTCGGGGGGCGGAGTTCCCCCCGGGGCCCGATTCCGTGGTGGCGGAAATCGGGCCTCCAAAGCGGGGGTTTACCCGCCCCCACTTGGCAGCCCTAAAGAGAGCCAATAACCATCACATAGCCATGTTAGTAAAGGTTTTTAAATAGTAAATTCAAATTCTTGTGACTTTATGCTACATGCATGTCAGCTGATTCATGCTACTTTTCAATCTGATCTTAAAAGTAATTGAATTTGAAATGGCCAAAAAAAAAAAAACACCTTTAAAACCCTAAATTGTGAATCCTACACCCAATTGATTAGGATTCCCTACAATAATCATGGCAGTATGGACTTCTTCTGATCACCAATTGTACGTTTACCATATCTTCCAGTTTTAAAACACATTACACCGTTCACAATTGATAGCATGGAACGTGGGTAGAACTTCGGGGCTTTGTTAACTTTTTGTAGCTGAGATACACGAAGAAATGCAAAAGATACTAAAACTCAAGTTTGTAATGGTTCCTAAAAATATGTTACTAAATATTCTACCAAGTAATGTTACAGGCATACACAGTGAATTACTTAAGTATATGGTAATTGCAGCAAGAGTAATATATGCAGCAAGGTGGAAAGCAGAAAGATGCCCAGAGGGGAGGGAATGGAAGAATAAATCAAAAGAATATACAACAATGGCAAAATTAGCATCTTATATACACAATAGACCAATTTCAGAATTTCAAGAAAGATAGAAAGCATTTTTAATTATATACCTGAAAACCAGGAATAAATTTAAGTCAAAATAAAAAATGATAAGAGGCAACATGGATGGCACCCCCTTCCTTATTCCATCTTTTCCCTTCAGCCTCCTCCTGGTCCTGCCTGCAAGGTGGCAACCCAGTCCAGAAATGGCTTCAAATTCAATTCATGGATGCCATCTGGGGCGTTAGTAAGACTCTACTGAATGTTTTATATTGTATTTTATTTACTGTTGTGCATTGCTCAGGGCGCTGTGAACACAGGGATTGGGTGATTCACTAATTTAATTAATAAATAAATTAATTAATAAATATGATGATAGTTAGAAAAGGTAGAATAAAGATATTTAAATAGAAGTGAAAAATTAAGAGTATGTATGAGTTCTAAATAAGTATGATTTATTCGATAACTGTACGACATAAATGACTGTAGTTATGATTGTACTTGAAGATCATTGTCTATGTCTTATGTATGATTTCTTGTAGCTGATTGTAGTTTGTTTTATTTTTGTGTTTGTGAGTTGAAATCATTTTTTAAGAAATAGCACAGAAGAGGGTTAGAGAAATTCCTGGAGATTCGGGTGTATGTGCAAGGTTTGGGGAGGAAAGGGACCAGTATGGTATGGTATGGTATAGAGGCCACCCTCCAAAGTTGTCATTTTCTCCAGGGAAACTGATCTCTGCACTCTGGAGATCTGTTGTAGTTAGCCCAAGTTATCACAAAAAAGCCAGTGCATACTCCGATCAGACCGATGGAGAAACAGGTCTTTCCAACGTGGCGGTAAGAAAGGAACTGGTGGGATGTCTGCGCCCACTCCTCTGGGTATGTGCGGCGGGGTTCCTGCGCATGTCCGAGGGACTGGGGCGTGAAAATCCGTTAAAATAGAGCTTGCTACAGCACTGATCGATCCAGCGCATGCACACTGAATCCCATGGCTGTGAAGCACAGAGACCACGTCGAAGATTATATACTTAATCTGCTTCCAGCCGATGCATTTGTTACACTACATCTTTCTAGAGCTCGTTGTATTGCTTTTACAACAAGCTTTACTTTTATTGTATAAAGTTAAATCACAATGTAGCTGCTCTCTTGTATGAAGAGACAGCTGGAAAGACTGACAGCATGAAATTTGGCTGTAGGTTAAGAGCATATGGAATGCAAGTAAAGCAACGTCTATGCTACAAATTCTATTGTGGGGAAAAAGCTGGGAAATGTGTAGTTACTACTTTGTTGTGCTGCAAAACTAGAGAAGCCAGAGAACCTCGAGCATCCTGAATATACCATAAAGGATGGGTAGCATACAGGCCCACACAAAGTGAGATGAGATTGAATAATCTGAAAAGATCCAGAATAAGCTCCCAGATATTGTTCCGTTTTCTTATTAGAGAAGTCCTCATGTGTTTAAACACATCGATTTAAAGCTGTACTCTGATCAGCTTGGGTGAGCACCGGCGATTCTCTTGTGTGAAAAAAACCCATGTTTGCTTTTTCCTGTGAGTTAGTGGAATTTTCAGCCAGCAGTGCTGCTATAGAATTGATCAGTTCAACTTCAAATCGCTAAACTCCTCAAGCCCAAATAAAAACCAAGGATACATTTTTGTACACAGACTTGATTGCCGAGGTATTGTTTGAATTTTGCCATACCACTTATGCTTACAGTTAGAGTTTGCTTTTTTGTATTAACTGTAGCTTCAAAGTAGTTCGGTTTTCTTTATATATAGTTTACAAATATGTTGTACTATGAAAAGCCCAGAGCTTGACACAGGGTCAATGGAAGGAGTATGTGAAGTTGGTCAGCTGTGAAGGCTTGCTGAGCATTGCCCCTCTGGAAAGCCCAAAGCTTGCCTGAGGCACAAGCCAAATATTAAGAGCCAAGCCTTTGTTATGTAGCCTGTGGCCCTGTTTGAGTCACTTCAGAAGGAAGAACACTGGGCCTCCTGCCCGACAGTATCCACTGTTCTGGGCTATTTTAGATGTGCTGGTCCCCTCAAATGAAAAAGTGATTTGAAGTGATAACATAAGAATCCATCACTAGATTACAAATGGCGCCAGGGAAATCCATATATCCATAGACCACTTTATATCCATAGACCATGTGTGTTTGCTGGAGAAGTGAGTGAGGCAGAAAATGATGCAGGGTAGGCAATGGAGATGGGGGACATCTTGACCATAATAGAAGCAACGGAGTTTGTGTAATTTCGCAGGGCTCTTTTTGTAGCAGGAACTCATTTGCATATTAAGTGACACCTCCCCCTAATGTAGCCAATCCTCCAAGAGCTTACAGTGGCCCCCGTAAGAAGAGCTCTGCAAGCTCTTGGAGGATTGGCTACATCAGGGGTGTGTGGCCTAATATGCAAAGGAATTCCTGCTACAAAAAGAGCCCTGTGTATAAAACATTAAGAAGAGACCGTCACCAATTTCCAGCAATACAATGACTATGTAGGTTCTATGCAGGGGCAGACTATAGTGTGCTTTCTAACAGCTGTACTTATACCAGATACTTTTATATGAAACACGAGGGAGTTATAATCAATAACGAATTCTTAGAGCCACTAGAATATAGGACTTTTTTTTTTTAAGTGGCCTGCAAAGTAGACTAGCAACCTAATATACTGCAAATTATTTTAATTCCTTTCTTAGGAGTGCATTATTGATGAGGACTGTGAGAATGGAAAATATTGTGAGTTCTCTGGTTTTGAGTACAAGTGTTATGTCTGCAAAACCCAACACACAGTGAGTATTGGACACTTTCCTGCTCTCTTCACTGCATGTCCAGCCGTTACTAACATGTTATGCCGGTTATTTTATGGGTGGACTGTTGAGTTACATTTTCATCTGAAGGCACGAAACATTTGTACTTATTTTATTGTCCAAGCAGTAGACCATTTAGACAGTAGACCCTACATTTAGGAGGAGAAGGCATCAGTCCTAAGTGATCGAAGTAAAAAGACCAGGAAGAAGCTATTGCTGAAATGTCTGCTGAACACTCAACTGGAATTGGAAACATCTGGCTGGGATTATGTATACATGAGCCTTAAATGTCCTAGTAAGGATTTTTTGTGTGTAAAAACATCAGAAGAGTTTAACTTCTCTGCAGGCTTGATTAACTGGGTCCAAGTCCAACATAGTGTAATAGTAAATGGTGTTTCTTCATATCCCTTTAAGCTAGAATGGAGAGCTAGTCAAGGGTGCTTTTCTTTACTAGCTAAATTGGTTGATAAAACATTAGACGACATGACATTATAATCAGGGGTCATTTCGTAGAAAAAGAGCTAGGGGGACTCATTAGCATAACTCATTAGCATATGCCACACCCCCTGACATCACCGGAAGTGTGTCCTCCCCACAGCCGGCGGCGACCTCCAGTGGGCACCAGCAGGGAGCTCCAGGCCCTGCCCTCCCGCACCTCACCCGGGGGGATGGCGTCCCCCCGCATCCCCCCCAAATGACCCCTGATTATAATCATCAGCATAAACTACTATTAAATGTGGATACTCTCTGTGTTTACCATGCAGAATAGTTAATTCCTTATTTTTGATGCCGTTCCTGACCACTTTGGGAAAGTTGGCTGGTTTATAATTAGTGGGAACAAGAGAGAGGATCCTATAAAACTGCAAACGGTCTGCTTGCACAGATTATTTGTGTTGCTCCCCCCCCTTCTGACTGCAGCCACACTTGCCTCTGAAAAGCTACTTCTGAGGATCAAGGGGTCTTCAAGCCCTAAAAGGTAGCTTTTTGTAACTTGAAGGGGCAAAAATCCCTTCCATGAAGTTATGCTATTAATAGTTTTGTAGGATTTAACCCACTGGCTTTTAGATCAGGACGAGGTTTCCCTGCCCAGTCATCTGATGAATAACAGTATTGGTCCTTATTGATAAATAGCATTATTGATCCTCACTGTAAATTAGTCAACTGTGCATAGTGCCACCATCAAAATCACTGGTTTCTGTGGCTTAGTATATTTCAATCCATGCTCCCAAGCAGCATTACAGAATCAGAATTTTCAATAAGGAATGTCACCTCACATGAAGCTGCCTTAAACTGAGCCGCCCATTGGTTTGTCAAGGTCCATTCTGATAGGCAACTTACTCTCCAGAGTCTCAGGGAGAAGTCTTTCACATCCCTTGCTACCTGATCCTTTTAACTGGAGATGCCAAGGACTGAACCTGGCACTTCCTGCAAGCAAACCAGATGCTCTGCTACAGAGCCACAACCCCTCCCAATGAACTAATGGTGGAATTTTAACTCTTACCTACTTGGCTTCGGTGATGAACTTCTGTTACTTTTGTGCGCCACCTGAGCAACAGGATCTCAGTACAATGCATATTCCAGAAGCTTGGTCTTGATGGGCTAGTTGCCTTTGAATTTCCAGAGTTATACCCTCCTAAGCCCAAATCTACATAGAACCATAAATACATTCCAGTCCCCACGTATAGGGGTTGTGTAGTTGTCAAAGAAGATAGTTGTGAGAAAGCAGAATCTACCAAAAAAGAAGCCTGATATACATCACTTCTTTGCCCAGTGTCAATCAACTTGTGAAATTCACTACTACAGGCTTTTCTCATGAGGCCAGCCGTAGTTGTATAACTGGTTTTATATGGGCTCAAACCTGATTTGGAATACTTAAGAGCAGGGGTGGCCAAACTTGCTTAACATAAGAGCCACATAGCATAAACGTCAGATGTTTGAGAGCTGCAAGACATGAATAAATATTACACACGTTTTTATTGGAAAATTTGCTCGGTATTAACATTAAATGAGACTGCCAAAAATAAAAACAAAAGGGGTAAAACAGATATTGATGATGATATTTATTTGTCTAGGAGAGAGAGAGAGAGAGAGGTGGAAAGCAAGAATGAAATAGATGGAGAGACAAAGAAAGCAAATAGATGGAGGAGGGAGGGGCAAGGAAGGGAGAAAGCAAAAGAAATGCGGGAAGAAAGTAAATAGATGGGGGAGGGAGAGGAGGGAGGAAGGAAGAGAGAGGAAGAAACAAAATGCAAATAGATGAGGGAAGATGGAAGAAGGAAGAGAAAAAGAAAGGTGGAAAGAATGAAAGAGGTGGAAAGAAAGAAAGAAAGAAAGAAAGAAAGAAAGAAAGAAAGAAAGAAAGAAAGAAAGAAAAACAAAGAAAGCAAATATCAGGAAGGGAGGAAGAGACCCTGGCCAAAAGGGGATGTAGTGGGGGTAGTGCTAGAAGCAGTGTGTCCCTTTTGGTCTGCAACCAAAGCACCCACCAAGAGATCTCATGTCTCCAGTGAATGAGCTGGCTGGCATACTTAGTGAGGCTGTCCTTGATGCGTAGGTCACTCATAGTTGGCAATATATAGACCTGCTTGGTGAGAAGTTCCAGGTAGGACTCAATACTTCCCTGCAGCCTCTGCACCAGCACACACACTGCTGGAAGAATGCACTTCCTGTCGCTGAAGCAATCAGATCACAAGAACGATGAGACCCAAGCTTGCCATGGCACACATGAGTGCCTTTTTGAACTCCTTAAATGGCTTAAGGACCTCCAGTTTGGGAGAGAGCCAGCCACTCCTTGTTGCTGAATGGTCTCTCTCCCTGCACAATGTCAACTCCAAGGCCACCTTGTCCAGACCACTCTTCTTCTCCACCACCAGATGCTCAATTATGGCACAGGTCGAATCACTTATCTGTCCTGATAATCAAGTGGGAGTTGTATCCATGCATGCTTTCTTCTTTCTTCACTCCCATCTTCCCTAGCATTGCTCTCGAGATGATGAGTGCTGTGGAAACCAGCTCTGTGTCTGGGGTGAATGCTTGAAAGCTGTCTCAAGAGGAGCAAATGGAACAATTTGTGAAAACCAGCGTGACTGTAATTCCGGAACGTGCTGTGCATTTACAAAAGGTCAGTCACTTTACCATTTCCATGTGCATTCTGCTATCTTTTCTGTTCTTTCCCATGGATGAAAGACCAAACAAGGAACTACGTCAATGTGTGGGTTTTGTATTTCTGCTTTGTTCTATCGTGTACAGTAATCTGGAACTCAGAAAAAATATGTTTTTACTAGAGGAACACTACAGTGTAAGACACACATCTTCCCATATGCCAAAGACTGAGCAAGTGAGCATTATGCTGTCAGGACAGAACATTTCTTCTCCTGTTGATTTGTAAGTTATTGCCGGCCAATGAACAGCAGTTTTTCAGCCAGAAATTACCATTTTGTGACTCTGTACTTGGAAAGTTGTCAGTATGGATGTGCTTGAGTTGGTGAAAGCTTTATTGTACAAAGCAGTCTCTACAGTAAAGCACATGGCATCACTACTGGGCAGTTTGCTTTATTGTACAAAGCAGTCTCTACAATAAAGCACATGGCATCACTACTGGGCAGTTCTGGTCTTCAGAACTTTAAGATCCATACTAAATCTGGTTATAATATGTGCCCGGAGAGCCTTGCGCTCTGTAGATCAACACCTTCTGGTAGTCCCCAGCCCAAAAGATGTCCACCTAGCCTTGACCAGGGCATTTTCTGCCCTGGCCTGGTGGAACATGAGATCAGAAGAGAAAAGAAGGGATTGGATTTATACCCCACCCTTCACTACCCAAGGGAGTCTCAGAGCGGCTTACAAACTCCTTTCCCTTCCCCTCTCCACAACAGACACCATCTGAGGTAGGTGGGACTAAGAGAGCTCCGATAGAAACTGCTCTTTTTCAAGAAAAGCTCTGTCAGAACTTGCAGCAGGTGCCAAAGGAGGAGTGGGGAATCAGACCCGGTTCTCCCAAACTGGTGTATTGGGATCTATGAAAATTCTGCAGGGCCTGTAAAACAGAGCTGTCCTGCCAGGTCTTCAGCTGAGGTGGTGGACATCCAACTATCTTGGCCTCTTCTGCTCATACTGCCCTGTTTAATGGCCCTATGATGCTAAAGAGATCTGCACAGCATCTTCTGGCAAATTGGATATTTTATTGACAATCTAGCCAGCACCCATGCAGGAGGAGCTCTGGACTACCATGAACCGGCCTGCTATCTTATTCTGAATTTGTTTTAAACTGGATTCAAATTGTGTATTATGGCCCCGGTCACATGGCAAAGTTGCTGCGGGAGAGGCACGGATGGTGGGCGGATTATCCGGGCACGATCACACCCCAACATCTGGGAAGCGGAGTGCATCCGTGGCTTACCGTCGACAATGCGAGTTAAAAAACTAGTATCTCCAAGGTACAAGTAAACGTTTGCCACGGGCTGCCTCCAGACCCCCGTGGTGTGATCATGCCGGCACGCGGCATTCCCCTCCGGTCCCTCGTTTACCCGCCAGCGCCGAAGGAAGGACCGGTGGTGTGCCGCCGGCGAGTCTGATCGCATAATCGCAGATCAAACTGCGCCGGGGCAATTAGCCACGCCTCCCCCCCGTGATATCCGGCCCATGTGACCGGGGCCTTAAATACTGTTTTTACTGTGAAATGACCTGTTGTGACCTGTCCTGAGCTCGCTTGCGGAGGAGGGCGGGGTATAAATCAAATAAATAACAAATAGCGTTGCCATGAGAAATTTGTCACCTTGGTGTAGACTAACTTCTGAAGAGATATCCTCAGGGGTGCACCTGAAGAACTGCTGTAGGCAAACTTCCACTTGAGTTTCATACCCCTCGCCAGCCATGATCTCATAGGGCATTAGGTATGAGAAGCATAATTGAAGCCTCCAAATTTCTGCATACAGACCTTCTGTTTCCTGTGTGTACCCCATTACCTGGAGAAGGAGAATCTTGCCACGACCCTTCAAATAGACTCCTCAACTTAATTACATGGGAGCTGGAACCAGATGGAGCCCTGGATCGCTGCCCCTGTGCACATGGATTGACTTGTAAGATGCAGAGGTAAGACTTTAAAAGAGTAAGTAGCCAGCCAGATCGATGACCAAATATTGTGTATATGGCAATTTGTCACTCGAACTTTCTAGGACAGCCCAGACAGAGCTGAACATTACAGGTAGTTCTGTTATTATTTTTTTACTGATTTCTTGGTTGAGCCATTTCCAGGTTTTTGTTTCATTGTGATGTCTGTGGATTCATTCCTGAAATCTATTCCACAATAAATCTGGTAGGCTTTAAAGTGCTAAGAGACTTGTTTGATACATTATCCTAATATAACTTATCTAGTTTCCTTCCCTGTCAGCTCAGTAACTGGGTTAGAACTGGCTTCTAGCGGTGAACGAGGAGTCATTCTCTGAAACTTTGAGGTGCTTATCAATACTATTGGTGTGCAGGGCTGTAGCTTCCAAACGTTTCAGAAGAACTGGTTTTTATACCCTGCTTTTCTCTGCCCTAAGGAGTCTCAAAGAGGCTTAGAATCACCTTCGCTTCCACTCCCCACAAGAGAGGGACCTTGGGAGGTAGGTGGGGCTGAGAGAGTTCCAAGAGAACTATGACTAGCCCAAGGTCACCCAGCAGGCCTCATGTGGAGGAGTGGGGAATGAAACCTGGGTCTCCAGATTAGAATCTGCTGCTGTCTTAAACACTATACCATGTGGGCTCTTTCAACCACAATCATGCTGTGAAATGAATTGGGTTAACTGTGACATTGATTCAATTGAACATGAACTGGGGGCATAGTTTGTATGGGCCTCTCTTTTCATGCAAGTAAGTGATAGATTACAGAAATCAGGGGAAAGATTCAGGAATGCACTCTTGGATACAGTGTTTAAGTACGTGTTAGGATTTTAATACACACAAACTGGATGCCCTGGAGGCTTGTGGTCCATACTTATTTGTTCAAAAACTCTTACTCAATTGATTTATAAGAAAAGTATGATTGTACTGACCATAAAAATGTATTACTTTTTCAACAGCTACAGCAGCGATTCTCTCTGTGAGCTATCCTTTAATAAAAACCAGAAAAAGGGCATGGAGGAACCTTTGCTAGATGAAATATCATTACTGGATTTTATAACACAAGATATTCCTGAGGACTATGAAGAGACACTGATTAACCAAATGCAGGAAGGCTTGGAGAAAGAAGTGTCTGTTCCCAAAGAATTGGACATAGCCAGTGATAGGATTTTTGCAGACAAAATGTAATTAATTGGTCACAAGTGCTTTTAGAAAAGTGTGTTTTTAATAGCAAACTAAACTATTTCTGCTGGATAGAAGTGCAATAATTAAAATATAATTGGTTATTTTCCTCTGCACTGTACAAAGTGTGAAACCACATTCTTCATTGAAACAAACATGGGCAGGAGCTTCATTTAAGGACGGCTCTTTTAAGTTTTAGGCAAGATATGCTTTATATTTAGTATAGGATGAGATTAAGTATTTAACATCAGTGGTTAGTTTGAGTCCATCTTTTCTGTATATATCGTTCATTTCAAAGGAATTTCTCATAGGATGAATCTGGTTCTCGATTTGAAGACTGAGCATTGGTTCTTGCATATTTTTTTAAGGGGGAAAATAATCAGTGTGTTGTAAATTTCAATTTTATTCATTTAAAAATGTTGCCTAATGGGCCTTAAGCTCTTAGGTAAACTGCATTCAGGTATTATGGTTCAATCTGTGCCTTGTGAACTCACATCTCAATGAGTACTAAACCTAGATTCAAGTTCTGGTTTACCAACGCCCAAGGAACTCTGTTGAATATTTGTGTTCTGCAGGTTGATTAAACGTGACATCTACCATTTTAAGGCTTACAATAGTTCATGCTCTATTTTACTTGGTTTAAAAAAAATAAAAGTTCTTCTGGCTTTGTCCACCAGAGAAGAAATACTGTGATATTTAATTAGGACTAAAAGCACTTCTGGCTTCTAGCACAAGGTCACGGGGTACAATAGGACTAATACTGAGTGAAGAACAACAGTGTAAGTATCTGTGAATAGCTGTATTGTCTTCCTACTACTACTCCGCCAAAGGATCTAGTGCTGCAGAGCCATGGCTGTAACTAAGGACTTACACTTTGAAGAGCTGGTTTTTATACCCCGCTTCTCTCTACCTAGGAGCTGCGGTGGCTCAAGTGGTTAAGACGCTGAACTGCAGGCTGTGGAAGGTCGGTAGTTCAGCAGTTCGAGACCCGAGTGTGCTGCATGACGGAGTGAGCTCCCGTCTCTAGTTCCAGCTCCTGACAACCTAACCCTAACCCTAGCAGTTCGAAAGCAAGAAATTGCAAGTAAATAGGTACCATTTCGGTGGGAAGGAAACAGCTTTCCGTGCGCCTTGGTGTTTAGTCATGCCGGCCACATGACCACGGAAACGTCTTCGGACAGCGCTGGCTCTTCGGCTTTGAAACGGAGATGAGCACCGCAACCCTAGAGTCGGATTCGACTGGCTTTCGAGCAAGGGAATCTTTACCTTCTCTCTACCTGAAGGAGTCTCAGAGTGGCTTACAATCTCCTTCCCTTCCTTTCCCCAAAACAGACAACTTATGTGGTAGGTGGAGCTGAGAGAGTCCCAAGAGAATGGTGACTGGCCCAAGATCACCCAGCTGGCTGCATATGGAGGAGTGGGGGATCAAACCCAGTTCTCCAGATTAGAGCCCACCACTCTTAACCACCACACCATGCTGGCTCTCAATATAGTGACCAGACTGAAATTAATCAGCTTGGAACATGCTTTCTCCCCATAGGATAATTGTGCCATTCAGTATATAGGTACTCTTATTACTCCAACAACAAAACAGCCCCTTTCAGCATTGCCATAAGGCGTGTTTAGTTTATGCCAAATTTCCAATCTACGTTACGTGGAGAATTTAAAGCAATCTGTGATTCTTGGTCATACTGGTTGGACATCAAAAGGCATTGTTTCTTAGAAGAGCATATTAAATTTTCTGGCAGCATATAATCCCTTTACCATATGTTGTCTGCATACACACAGTCGGTTACATCGACCTGGAACTTTCACAAGGCTGGGAAGGACAGTGCCCCAATCCTTCAAAGTTTTTATTCAGACACAAGATCAAGGGGAAACTGTCTCATGTGACACTGAAAGGAGCTCTTTACTCTCTCTGCTGCCTTCACACGTGCAGCCCTAAGCACTTTCTGTACACGTAACCCCCCTACCTTTCCATTAGAGGCAGTTCCTATAGGCTACATTTTAGTCACTTTACCAGGCATCATCCTCAGCCTTGAAGGCTTTATACAGCTCGTCCAAACCAAAAAAAGCCCTTCCAACAGTTTTAAGGTAATAATCCTAAATCATAAGAAATCTTCCAGATACTAGTTTTGAGCAAGCCAAAGACATGACCATCACTAGAATTGCAAAAGGGTACCTATATTAGCCCATTATAGTAAATAAAACTGAGTAGCACCTTAAAAGACTAACATTTATTTCAATGTGAGCTTCTTGGAGGCACAGCCCACTTTTTGAGTTATATGGAAATCCAACCAGAAAATTCATTCTTTGCCTTAACCTCCCCCCCCCATAAAAAGATCCCCCGTTTGATGATCACATAAGGTGGACTGTGTGTGTGCGCGCGCATGTTCCCATCAGTGTGGTATACAGACCACCTTATCTGTTTTAAGAGGAATGAATACCCAAACATACATCCCTTTCATGCTTTCAAATCCTATGCTACATCAAAGAAAAAATTAGGAGATCTGAGTTAAACTCAAGTGGCAACAATACAAATGCTTGGAAAGAATCAGAAGCTAGTGCCCAGAGGTACCAACCCCTGCTCAGCATGATAGCACAGTTGGACAGGAAGATGTGTCTACTACTTTGCAAAATCTCAGAAAATCAACCATCAATCCAAGGACCAGGTAGTCTATGGATTATGTCCTGGAACTGAACACAGTTGCTAGGTCCAGGCTTGCAAAATCCTCAAGAGCCACATCTCCAGCCTGATCCTCTGGTATCAGTCACTTATTAGATACACAAGCCATTCTATAACAGAAGAAATTAACTATATTTTTTCCTGGGCATCTACAGGCCTATCTGACCTATTATAACATGCCATTTGATTGAAACACAGAACTTGTCCTCATCTGTGTACCTTTGCAGTGATGCTCCTTTACTTCGGGAAGTCTGTTTCCCTATGGTTAGATGATAATTACACCATTCAAATAATGTTCCAGAAGGGACTCTGGGTTATAGATGACACCTGATATCCTCAAATCCATGGAGTTTTCACAAGTAAAGCAGTCCTCCTTAATCTCATTGATTCAAATCCACCCTCACCATCAAAGTCACTGGATGAACATGGGCCAATCATCCCCTCTGCATAACCTACCTCCCGGAACATCCTTTGTGGTCTTCAATGGCTTTCCCATAAGGCGATGAGGAAAAGGAAGCAAGGTGTATCTTTCCTGTGGCATAGCTTGGCTGTACTTCGACAAGATACTCAGGAAGTTGTGGAACACTGAAGGCGTGCTATAAGAATTGGTACTTTACATTCATCTGCAATAGAGGCAGGTCCTCGAAGGTGCTCATAGGTTATAGCCTCTGCCCATCAAGTAGTCTTTCATGCTAATTAAGATGTGAAAAGAGACTTCCCGTTTGGGATGCTACCATAAACATGAGAGGAAAACTTTCCTTCTGTAAAGTTACCTCTACATAAGATAATGCTGTACATTTCATATTAAAATAAGGGAAGTATGATTAAAATAACAGAATGAGCAAATGTTTTATTGGCATGTTCATCGTTGTAAACAGCATCTGGCATGGAAAAGTTTACCAAAACCTTTTATTGATTGATATAAATTAGATGGTATTTAAAAAAAACAACAACCAGAAAACGTATGTAGAAGTTTGTAGTCGATCTTATGATGTAGCAACCCAAAACCTTGTTGTGTCTGGCGACTTGCGATTAAATCACGTTTACTGAATCAGTCTTGCACCAAACCCTGAACTACTGGGAAGGTTATAGTGGGAGGTGTTAAAGGGTGTCCAACTTAAAAAAACAACAACCCTACATATAAAACTATGAATCAACTCCAGGGCGAAAAAAATTAAGTATGACTTGCAATGGTACTAGAAGATGCAAACTTGGAGGAGTCCAAAACCAAAATGTACAAAAAATAAGAGGCCAAACAAACCCCCCTGCAACTCGTTAACAAGGGGAAAATACGAACTAAGTACCCAGCATTGCCAAACATTAAATGAATACAAATTTAAATAGGCAGCTATACTTTTAAATGTACACAGTGAATATTGATATGTGAAGAGAAATACCATAGTAAGTAGCTGAAATGCGGTTCTGCTAACTCAGAAGAGCAGAGTTGTATTTACACACTCAATGAAACAGTGGGATTGCCTGGATCTGTAACCTAATAAAAAATATCAGTTACCTTACAACACTTCTTGAAGACAAAACAACACCTGCTGGTAATGGTAACTTTTTCTAAAAATACTTTTTTTCGGATGTTCCTGCTTTATGGAAGAGAAACCTTACAAGAGTCACTTAAAAATCTAGCTTTATAAAGTTTGGGGTCTGCCAATTCAATCACATTTTCAGTTTATTTCCACGCTCATGCTTCTAAAAAGCCACTGTTACATTTACTTCAGAAATCTTCAATGAGGTAATGTGTGTATCAGTGAAACAAACAGAAAAAGATTCATTCATGGCCTTTGCACAGCTTTTATTATCAAGCTATGAATATCCTTTTTGAGGCTAGTTAACTAGCTACTGCTATGTGCACACTGTCCTCAATTTTTGCTCATTACCCACCCCCACCCCATTTTTGTGTTTTTTTTTTTATTTGCACATCCCTTTTTATCTTTACAGTACATTTGACTATAGTGCACACAACATGATTCCAAGTCAAACAGTGGCCTGACTGGGCTCTGTGCTTCTGATTGGTAAAACTGCAGCCCAATCAGTGCTGGTGTCTTTGCGGTACACCTAAAGTCCTGCCGTAACGGCACTACACAGTAGTAGTGAACCTCTCACTTAAACAAAAAAATAATTCCCCAGGGAGAATGCTGAAATAAGTGTCAGTCTTGAGTCAAATCTTTATTTGGTGCTCCATCCAGATATATTTTTAGTGCTTTTTCTTTACGAGGGGAGTAGGTCACGCGATGTCCAGTTTTCTGAAGCCGGCTGCTTTCTTTTTTCATTAATTCATTTCTCTGTTCTTCGGTCAACTCTACCACTTCTTCAGTTTTATCCCTTATACATAAAAGAACAATTTTAAATTTCATAGCATCGCATTTAAAAATGTTATTCAACAGTGGGTTTGTTTTTATCTAACTGCACTAGAGACCAAGCTTTAAAGTAGCATTTCTTCTGCAAAATGCTGAGCATGTAGCAATGGAGCTACAAGTGCTGAACAAGATAGTTTTGTTCAATATAGTCACCTTGTGACAAAAAAAAAATCTTTTGAATTTGATGGCATACCTGGGGGGGAAAACCTAGTCTTGCATTTGAGTAAATACTGTACTTTCCACAATCGTACACAGAATGCTAGAATAGGAGATGGATCAGTATTATTACGAAGAACACTTTTATCCTGCTTTACCCCTACGTGGGAACTCAAAAACAGCTTACAGAATGAAGTATAAAAAAGAAACATATATAGATCAGAAGAACTGCCTCTCAGCAAGAGGTATCCAAAGCATCTCCCTGGAACCCACAATTTAAGAGAGGAATTTGGTGATGATAAGACATACCATGCCAAATCAACAAATGAGAGTTGCATAGTTATATTTCAACATGTGTAAATGACTGCAAAATATCAACAATATCTACAATTTTGTGGCAGGGCCACACCCCTCCAAAATGTGTTTATAGTCACATTTCCCATAAAGGATGCTCTTATTCCATTT